ACATTTATTATTTTATAAATTGTTATTCATTAAATAAATAATAATAATAATAATCTATTGTTTTATTTTATATAGAACAGAATTATAAGACATGAGTTAATTTTGATAAATATAATTTGGTAAAACAATCAATTAAAACTATTGAGGTGGCTTCATAAAAATCAAAATAACATAGGTTGACTTGTAATTGAACTAGTTAAAAAGTGCAAGTTTGCTTACAAAATCAAAACAAAACAAAATTGGTGTTTTCGGGTAAATTTGTAATAAAATATTTCAGAAGTTACTCTAATAACACTTTTCTAACCTTTTCAATAAGATTTAGATTAGCTAAGAACAATGGTCTCTTGAATATCACTCTACATTTTAAAGAGATGACCTTATAATATCTAAGTCCAATTATAGATATTTTAAAACAAAAATTCAAACCAACCATTTTTTTAAAAAAAGTATTACATATGTGGTGATCATGTATTAATTAATATTTTACATATTTAATTAATTAAAAGTAAATAAATAATCATGATGATAAGATAATTAGTTAATAGATAATGTTTATAAATATAAATGACAATCGAGCTCAGACGTAGATATCTTAGGACAAGAATAATCCGAAATTAAATTGGATTCTAGAAAATATATGAATAATATTGGAAGCTCATTTTACTGGGGCGGGTCGGGTCAAAAAGGAAGAAGAGGAAGGAGGAACAAAAAAACAAAGGGTGTTCTAATCTCCCAATGAGCTCTTTATGGCTTATGAGATGGCCATGGCCGTTCCTATGTTGGGCCTAGGAAATGACAATCATATTCATAAATCATAGCATACTTGTGAGTTAAATCATTACTATTATCAAATACGCAAAAGGTGAGTACGTTTGGAGTGGATCAGGCTGTCGCCCCTGCATAAACTTGCTTCGCTGGATCAAAACTGAATTCCAATCACCCAACAACACCATCTTCTTCTTCAATTGTAGATTGTTTGCCGAATTCCTCAACAGAATATGTCTTACGCTTACCTCTTCAAGTACATCATCATCGGGGATACCGGTACATATTGCTCTTCTTTTTTTGTTCTTTTCACCCTATTGTTGCTTTCTTGATGCATTCATTCACTCATGAAATTGCAATTCTTGTTCTTCCGATCATCTCCCAAAGGAGTGGGCAAATCATGCCTTCTTCTTCAGTTCACCGACAAGCGGTTTCAGCCGGTGCATGATCTTACCATCGGCGTTGAATTTGGGGCCAGGATGATCACCATCGACAACAAACCCATTAAGCTCCAAATCTGGGACACCGTATTTTCACTTTTCTCTCCTTACTCTTCTCCCTGTTTTACTCTTTTCTACCCTCGATCGGACATAATTTGATTGCTTTATTTCCCATCAAAATTAAAACTTGGGCAGGCAGGTCAAGAATCCTTCAGATCCATTACCAGGTCCTACTATAGAGGGGCTGCTGGTGCCCTGCTTGTCTATGATATTACCCGGTAGGCCCACCACCACCGCCCTCTACCTTTCATTTTCGGTCTCTTCTCTATCAAATCATTGTTACTATCTGCACATCACCATTTATATCACTGCCAATATTCTTCATTATTAATTTTATTGCTTAAAGGGTATCATTTATCTCTGCATACAGGAGGGAAACTTTTAATCACTTGGCTAGCTGGTTGGAAGATGCCAGGCAGCATGCTAATGCTAACATGACCATTATGCTCATTGGTAATAAGTGTGACCTTGCTCATAGAAGGGCTGTGACCACTGAGGAAGGCGAGCAATTTGCCAAGGACCATGGTTTGATCTTCATGGAGGCCTCTGCTAAAACTGCTCAGAATGTTGAGGAGGTTTATTTTACTTATCAACTTTCTTCTTTCTTATTATATGCTAAACAATCTTACTATATCAACTATTCAAGCTTTTTCTAACTTAATCTGACAACTCTCTTCTTTATGCAGGCATTTATAAAGACTGCTGCCACCATATACAAAAAGATTCAGGATGGAGTTTTTGATGTCTCAAATGAGGTTACCTCTTCTTAACCACTCTTATATCTCCTCACTTTCTTTTTGGGGTACTACTGTTTATGTTTTTATCTCCTAATCAAATTAATCACATTTACCATGTATCACGTGCATATAGGATATAGATATTTATGCCTACTAAGCACGCAAAAGAGTTTGGCCTGGTTATGAACTTCTAGACTAGTTTAAACTACAAAAGGGGGAACGTATTGCTTCTTCATCTTTTCCCTATTAGCAAACTTTCTGATAATTGCCAATTTTAAGCTCTACTAGCCAATATAATTTAAAAAAAAAAATTCCAAAAACCAATTCTGTTTTATTTGCTTCCCTGCCTCCCCTAATCATATGGCTCATGTTCAAAAGCAAATTTTCAAACACACCTTTTTACTGAGATAAGACTTTCTGTTTCATACTTCTACTAAGTTTTTTAAATTCAGATCTGCTGAAAAGGAATGAGGCCACTGTTGTTTCTTTGCATGAAAAGAGTTGTGCTTTCACTTTGTCAATTGTCATTGTTTTTAAAGGTAATACCATTTAATAAGATAAAATGGAATACACATATTGATTGGGTCCAGGTGCTGCAGACCAGCCATTAGATAAGATAAGCATAACCCTCTTTACTGCAGAATTATGGTTGGAAGGAAAATACTTACCAAGCTTGGTTTGATACTTTACAACGGTGAGTTGGGGTACTGGTGGGGAGGGGGTATGAGCTTCATAATATGCAGGGTCACTGGGTAATAATATTTTTTGGTGTGCAAGAAACGTTACCTTACATTTAGGTATCCTTGAATATTAGGTTAGCAGTTCACAGTTCCCTGGTGAACAAGGTTGACCTACCTAGATCTGGAATGTAGACTATCACCCCACCTTCAACTGTGTGATACCATCATCGATATTTTTCTTTCAGGAGGTTCAATTTATCTGACTGGGGCATTTTGAATGCATTGTGGAAGTGCAAGCTGCACAGCCATCTTCTTTAGGAAATATTTGACATTGCAATACTTGATGCAGACTAAAAAGTGACGTATCTTTGAATATTAACAATAGAAGAAGAAGAATTGCTCTGTTTCATTTGCTTTGCTACATTGAATAGATAGAACGTGTGACATCTGTTGCTGACATTCTGTTCTTGTTGATTTGAAGTCTTATGGCATAAAAGTTGGATATGGTGGAATTCCGGGGCCATCAGGAGGCCGCGATGGTTCTTCCTCTCAAGGTGGGGGCTGCTGCAATTGAAATTCAAGTTTCTTCTTCTCATGCTTTGTTTATTTTAGAGTTCCTTGTTAATTTTTTATAATCCCTCTACCCTGAATATTGTGGCTGGTTTCTTATACGTGTCCATTCAAAGTGTGAAATTTGTATAATCCATTTAGATGTGTGCTCCATTTGGTTGTAAATTTGATAGTTGTTGTAGTTTCATTTGTGGATAACTATGGTGAAAAGAAATTGTGAAAATATGGGGACTTGATTCGAATTTTTTGTTGTTTTCATATTTCGATATGACTTGCGTTGTATATGTCAAGGCTCTTTCAAATAGAAAGTAGATTTTTACGTGCTTGTGAAGTGGTGAAACTTGAACATGTTTGGGAGAAGGAATTATGGTGTGATGTAGCAGCTGAAATGGTGGAGCTTGGTTTTGTGTTGATTGGAAAATATAATTGTAATGCATAACAATTTGAGAGATGTTTGAGATTTTATCTTTTATGAGGCAAATATAGAACTTTTTAGCTCGAAATCGTAAAGCAATGGGATGAGGCGTGAGAAGAGCAGGAAGAGTGCTACCTTTTTCTTCTTGTAATTTTATGCTTGGTTTTGGGAGGAAAACTTTTAATTTTGTTAAGAGTACAAGGGAAGAGTGCTTTAGCCTTTAGTAATACACAAATGTAAAAAAGGATAGGGGTTGTGTTGCGCTCTAGACATGGGCTTATCACAAAGGTGCCAATGGTAATGGTGATGGTGATGCGATACTGTTGGTTGGGTTGGTGTGGTTCCTCGAACAAGAGGAGAAGCAGCAGAGCAAGCATATAGAATTAGAAGTAGCAGAGGAGAGGATGGGTGAAAAGTAATTACAACAAACAAAAAGTTGGTAAATGCTAAGACTAGTACTATAAGTGAATGTTAACGAGTATGCGACAAAAATATGCCATTTGGCTTTGAGTTGGATACGCCATATTTATTTTCGTTTGAGGAAATTGCATATTCCATGTAAATGAATGAATCCATCCTTGTGTTACAGACCTTGTAGCAGTTCCGAAATGGATTAACAAATACTACCACTAAAATACAACAGAAACCAAAAGCCTTTTTCCTTTTTTTTGTTTAAGAAAGAAAGTTCACTGGCGTCCTCAAGTCATCGTCCGGTCTGGGTCACGCACACGAGAGGAGACTTGAGCGAGAGATTTAAGATTGGATTTCTCAAACTTCGATTCTGATCTGAATCGAAGCAGCAGATCCATGAAACCCTCCTATAACTTCTGTTCCGCTTGAGCACTCAACAAGTCTTTCTCTTTCTCTCTCACACACACTCTGCTTCCTTAATCTAATCTAATCATTAGTTATTGGCTACTACTCGAGTGTTGTTTTTATTGGATTTGAATTTAGATTTGGATGGCTTCCACTGGGAATCCCAATCAACAACCACTAGTTGGGGGCGGTGGCGGAGGGTTCGATATGAACAAACTGTTTAAGCCCTCTTCCGGCCCTATTCTGCAGCAGCAGCAGCAGCTTCATCAAAACTTGAACGTAATAGCAGCTCCTCCAAGTCCAAGTACTAGCACCACCAACCTGACCACATCCCCATCGTTCCCGGCCCAATCCTCCACGCCTCCTCCTCCTCCCTATCTGACGCCTTCGTCGTCGTATCCTCCTCCCACT